GGGGGCAGGAGTGGGGAGAGGGATCGGAGCAGTCAGGGGACAGGGAGCAGAGGGGTTTAGATGGGTCGGCAGTTTGGGGTGGGCTGTCAGGGGGTGGGGAGTGGTTGGATGGGGCGTGGGAGTCCCAGCGGTCTGTCTGGGGGTGGGGGTGTGGATAAGGGTTGGGGCAGTCAGGGGACAGGTAGGGGGCAGAGTCCTACGGGGCCAGTTAGGATGTGGGGAATGTCTCAGGAGGGGGCAGTCAGGGGACAAGGTGTGGGGGGGAGGGTTGGGGATTCTGAGGGGGCAGGAAGTGGGAGGGAGTGGAAGGGGCAGGGGCGGGGCTAGGGCGGGGCTCCTCCCGTCCTCTTTTTTGATTGTTGAAATATGGTAACCCTAGTAAAAGGAGTCGATCCCACTGTGTGGGGGGGGGGCGCTCTGCACTGGCTGACCCTGCCCAGCTGTTCCCGCCCCTGCAGGTACCACTGAGGACTGCAACAACCATGTGCTGTGCCCAGCAAATGCCAAGTGTGTGAACAACACCCACTGCACCTGCCTGGATGGATACCGAACAAGAGAGAATCACCCCGTCTTCTTCACCGACACAATGGAGATCTGTGACGGTAACGGGGCTCCCACATTGTCCTGGGGGGGCTGGGACAGAGCAGGGCATTAAGTGACGGAGCAGCCAACTCCACTGACTCCAGGGCCTGTTGGGGGGGCTCAGCCTGGCTGGGGAATGGGGGGGTCAGCAGCACGGGTGAGCGCCGCCCTCCTGGGGATCGAACCGGGGCCTCCAGAGTGAGCAGCAGGAGCGACTGCAGCAGGAGCCAGGAGCGTTGGGCTCTGTGGATTGGGCACAGGGTGGGGGGGCCCATCACACTGACCTGTCTGAACCCCATCCTGGGCCCTGATCAGCCCCTGGGTGTCCTGGGTCAGAGGGACCCCACGGGAGCAGAATGGGGCAGCCCTGGCTATACTTCCCACCCCCAGCCCGCAGGGATCTAAGGAGGGAGGGGGGCAGAGGAGAGGCAACCTGTCACCCCCCCCCAACACACAGGGAGCCTGGAGCCCCGGGGGACGTCTCCCCCCTCCCCTCACATGAGGGATCTGGGTGTTTGTCGGAGTCAACCCCCCCACCCACCACCACCACCACCTGGGACAGGAGGCTCGGGGGGGGGGGGCTGTTTCCGACATTCCAGCAGCAGAAATGGGTAACTGAGAATCAGGGCCTTAATCACTAACTGCTCAGGGCCCCGGTCACCTGGGTCCCATCACCCAGCTCAGTGCGGGGAGCTGGGGGGGTGATGCGGTGAACATCTCTCTGCCAGGACTGTACAGAGCGTCCCCTCTTGCATTACAGATATTAACGAGTGTCTGGGGCCGAGCAAGCCAGACTGTGGACGCAACACACACTGCACCAACGTGCCTGCGAGTTACTACTGCACCTGCACTGATGGCTACGAGCCCAGCTCTGGGAAAGCCAAATTCATGAATGCGAGTGAGAACACCTGCCAGGGTGAGCTCTCCCCTGGCCCCACCTGCTGAGACCCCCACATCGCACACATAAATGCTCGTTCCAGGCCTGGCGCTGCACCGGGGCTGCTGCGGCTTTGGCAGTGGCCCGAGGCCGTCAGCGAGGCTCTGATAGGACATGGCCCTCGCCTGCTGCCGCAGAGCATGGGGCCGGGCTCACCCCTGTGCCTGGCACTTGGACAGGGAATAAATCCTTGGGGCAAGAAACAGACCCACGGAGCAAACTCCTAGTGCTGCAAAGATGCGCTGGGGAGAGGGGAGCTGGCCCTAGCACGCAGCATCTGAGCTGCTAGTGCCCCACTGAGCCTGGGAAGTGGCCCCGGGAACAGCTCTGGGAATTGGACTAAAGTGTTCTTGAACAGCTCCAGTCTACTTTTCTAGTATGGCTTTAAAATTAGAATTTGGGTCATTTAGCCGGCAAGTTGCTCAACCCTTTCTGGCTCAGTGTCCCACAGGGCCGGACTTTTGCTCAGAGCATCACTTTTGCTGACTGCGGTTCGGGCCTTGTACCAGGCCCCTGCTCCAGGCTCTCTCTGCTCCAACTCCATGTCGCTCCCCCAGGGCAGCGCTGGGAGGGGTATGTGCTGGTACTGGCATTGCCAGCCTAGCCCCAGGCTTCCCTTAGACCCCCTGCTTCCAGCGGCATGGCACGGGGACACACGGGAAGTCTGTGGATTGAATTGAATTGGAAAGGGGCAAATTCAAAGCAGATACAAGGAAAAACTCCTCCACACAGGGAAGTAGTAACCTCTGGAACTCACTGCTACCGTGGCCTGGAGGCTGTGAACGTGTCGAGTTTTAAAGAGGGACTGGCTGTTTCTCTGGGGAACGACAATGCCTGGAGCTGTGCTAGTTAATGGACAATAATTCTGGGAGGGAAAAACTCCCACTTCAGATCTTAAACCAACCTCCGACTATTAGAGACCAGGAGGAGACCTTCATGGAGGCAGATTATCCCCCGGCTCCTGCTGCGGGACTCTTACACCTTCCTCTGTAGCACCTGTCGCAGACGGGATACGGGGGTAGATGGGCCTTGGGTCTGACCCAGGCTGGCAATGCCTGTGTGTTCCTCTCTGATTGGAACCTGAGGGGGATTTCTGCCAAGTCCCAGTGTTCCCACCCCTTGGGCAACTCAGCTTCACACATGGACTCCTAAATCTCGGCCCCATTGGGGCTTGGCCCATAGAGGCCACAGTGGCTGTTCAGGGGTCAGAAGGTCCCCTTCCTCTGTTATGTTCACGGCACACACACAGTTAGAATCAACGCATCACATCGTCTCGCTGGCAGGCTGAAGATCAACACAGGGTTATTCCTAGAATCCAGAACCCCAGCACACAAGAACCCCAAACAGAGAGAGACAAAGCAGGCTGCTCCTAAAGGCAGACGGGCACAACTAACCCCAGTTTGCTCTAGGCTGGGCTCTTTGGCAGACACACTGCTGAAAACCCAGATCACATGCTTGTCACCCGAGCCCCCTAGCCCGCAAGCAGGTCCAGGAAAGCCCCTTTAAGATGTAAAGTGAGAGCTTGTGATGCTAACGCAGTTTTCAATACACCATATTCTCGAGTGGCCGTTACACTGCCAGAGCAGCCCAGTGTGGCCTGAGTGTAGCTGAGAATCAGGCCTGTGATTGTTAAGCTCCCAGAGGCCTGATCACCTCAGTCCGATCACCCAGCTCAGCACAGGTGGGTGATACAGGAACGTCTCCCTGCCAGGACTGTACAGAGCGTCCCCTTTTATGTTGCAGATATTGACGAGTGTCAGGGCCCGAACCCGGCAGACTGCGGACCCCACGCAAACTGCACCAATGTGCCTGGGAATTACTCCTGCACCTGCATCGATGGCTACGAGTCCAGCTCTGGGAAAGCCAACTTCACGCACGCGAGTGAGAACACCTGCCAGGGTGAGCTCTCCCCTCACCCCACCTGCTGAGACCCCCCCTCGCACACACAAATGCTCGTTCCAGGTCTGGCGCTGCACCAGAGGCTGCTAGTGCCCCTGAGCCTGGAAAGGGGCCTCGTGGATGGTCCACATACAGCACAGTGCGCTCTGCCCCCTATGGCCCTGGGGAGCAGGGAATAGCCCCAGCCCAGGACACCCCGGCCACGCCCCCAATCTGCCCCCTCCTTCAGGGCTGGGAGCAGAGCCTTTTCCACCACACACTGACAGGGAGCCCCCTGGATGGGAGGGTGTTTCCCAAGGGGACCATTATGCCCCCTTAGGCAGCCAGGGTGGCCTGACCGGAGAAGGGGCCGGGGCGTTCCAGGCCCTTGTTTGCAACGTTCAGACGGTAGTTAGAGCTTGTATAAAGTCCTAGCCGGCCGTTCCCATGGAAACCGCCCTTTACACCCCCGTTTGGGGGGGGGCAGAGCACCGGGCCCGTCGAACTGGGAGAACTCAGGAGCCCATTGGTTCAAACGCTTCCCTGGCAGAGACCTCGCCCAGCCGTTCCTGCGCCCAGCCCCCGGCCTCGTGGGATAACCCCAGCCAGTGTCCTGGGGCGGGTCTAGGCACAAGGAGAAATCGGCGCTGCAGGTATCTCAGCCAGCGTCCCGGGGATTGTCCGGGGATAGCTGGTATCGGGAGCCGTGCGGAGAATCCCTAGGGATTGCCCCCGGGGGGAATTGATGGCGATCGCTGTTCTCTTTGGAAGCGCACTGATTATTCCAGACCAGAGTGTCCGGATGGGGAGCGATTCCACAGGAGCTGTTCCCGTCAATTTCCCCATCTACTTAAACTCCTAGAGACACCCAATCTCAGAGCTCCCTGCAGCTCGGAGCGAGTTTGGAAGCCGTGGGACACCCGTGTGCCCGAGGGAGGGGAGAGCTCTGGCCGCACCACCGAGAACCCAGCGCATGGCGCCCCTTCTATGACTGACTGATCTCCAGGCATTAGACTAGCCCTCATGTTATTTTCTATCCCCTTCCTCCAAAGCAGCTCCCCATTTGTCCCTTCCAGGGGCAGACGGCTCATTCAGGCATTGCCATCTGCACTGATATTGCGGCACTGGGCATCGCCAGATCCACTTGGTAGCTTTAGCAAGCAGCCGGCACGTGTCCTGGCAGGGCTGCTTTTCCCTTCCCAGCTGGAGCGGCTCATTCCGGACAATAGCCAACTCGCTCCCGTTCCCTGTCCCAGTAACTGAACTCCTGGCTCTAACCAGCCCCATTCCCCAGCATGCTGTTAATGCACGGCCACTGACCTTACCCAGGATCTCCATGGTCATTCACCCTCCGTGTGCCCCCAGCCGTGCTGTGTGTGACACCCCCCTCCCCCCTTTCCCCTCTCAGACATCGACGAGTGCCGCAAGTCCCCAGGTATCTGCGGCCTCAAGGCCACGTGTATCAACACCTTAGGAAGCTACTGGTGTGAGTGCCGGGCCGGCTACTTCCCCTCCACCAGGAACTCAAACCTGTGCGAAGGTGGGTCCTGCCGTGGGGGGCACGGAGGCGGCAGCTGGGGGGCTGGGCAGGGCCTGGGGTTACACAGGCAGAGGTCTTGCCAGAGGGGACAGCGAACTGGGAACTGGTCTGGGACGGTGAGCCAGCCCCCCTTGCCCCCATGGATGGGGTCCCTCTAGGTATCAACCCTAGCTAAGGAAGGCTCAGCTTCAAGGCCCTGACCTCCCCACAGCCCACCCTGTGCATCCACTGGGGTGTTTCCGGTTGTCTCAGAGCCACAGCCACCAGCGTGTCCATGTCTGGCTCTGGGAGCAGAGCAGGGGTCACTCCAGGGCCAGGCCGGAATTACACTTATCTGCACCAGAGCCAGGCCAGGGAGTGGGTGAGGAGGGCTGCCAGGGGCCAGGTGTCTCTTCCCTAGGGTTGCCAACTGTCTAATCACACAAACCCAAACACCCTTCCCCGCCCCTTCTCCGAGGCCCCGCCACACCCACTGCATCCTTCTCCCTCCGTCGCTTGCTCTCTCCCACCCACACTCACTTTCCCCAGGCTGAGGCAGGGGGTTGGGGTATGAGAGAGGGTGCAGGCTACGGGCCGAGCCTGGGGAAGGTGGTTGGGGTGCACGTGGGGGTGTGGGGTTCAGGCTCCGGGAGGGGGTTTGGGATCTGGGAGGGGGCTCATAGCTGGCATAGGGGTTGGGGTGCAGGGTGCTGGCTCAGGGGTGGGGCTCAAGCATGGGGTTGGGGTGCGGGAGGGGTGCGGGATACAGGCCCTGGAAGGGAGTTCGAGTGCCAGAGGGGGCTCAGGTGGCGCTTACCTCGGGCGGCTCCCAGCCGGCAGTGCAGCGGGGCTAAGGCACGTGTAAAGGTGGGTTCTCCCCAGCGGGCAGAGGCGTCTGTACCCAGCAGGTCTCTCTGCAGAATAGATGGAAACACGTCTAGAAGCCTTGGAGACAGGAGCAGGAGGGAGGGGCAAAGTGGAGTGTAAATGGAGGGGAGAGAGAGACAGAGTAAGACAGGGAGGAAGGGAGGGAGTTTTGTAGCAGCCGCATGTTAAACTATTGGCAGCACAGGACTGGCATGTGGACAGAGAGCAGCCATCGGGGTGGGGAAGAGAAGGGGATTTTCCCCCAGGCAGGAGTGAGTTGAGATGAAAATCTGATATGAAAGCGCTAACGTCTGCTCCTCTCTTCCCATCGCTCCAAGCCCCCAGCATTAACTCCAGCGCTGAGTTCGAGGGAATCAAAGAGACGTGCAGGAATTTCTCTCTGCAGGTACGTTCGAACCCATCATTCATTTGTTGGGGATTTTGCCCTGTGTTTTTTATCACCAATATGGAAATTCCCAGACAAAAACCTTTGCTGTTGGTATTACGGTGACCCCTGTAAACCTCATCCAAGATCAGGGCAATTCTGTGTTTGTTCCTTTCATCACTGGGACTCGATCCTCCTCATCCTTCTAGTAGAGCAGAAGAATTACTTCTCGTGTCTTGCTTACAACGCTCCTGCTAATACAGGGGTTCTCAAACTGGGGGTTGGGACCCCTCAGGAGGTCATGAGGGGATTACATGGGGGGTCGCGAGCTGTCAGTCTCCACCCCAAACCCCGCTGTGACTCCAGCATTTATAATGGTGTTAAATCTAAAAAAAAGTGTTTTTAATTTATAAGGGGGTCGCACTCAGTGGCTTCCTATGTGAAAGGGGCACCACTAGAAACGTTGGAGAACTACTGTGCAAATACATCCCAGAATGAGGTTTGGTTTTTTGGCAACAGCATTACACTGTTGACTCTTATTGAGCTTGTGATCCATTATGACCCCCAGATCCCTTTCTGCAGTACTCCTTCCTAGGCAGTCATTTTCCAGTTTGTATGTGTGCAATTGATTGTTCCTTCCTAAGTGGAGAACTTTGCATTTGTCCTTATTGAACTTCATCTTATTTACTTCAGACCATTTCTCCAGTTTGTCCAGATCATTTTGAATTTTAATCCGATCCTCCACAGCACTTGCAACCCCTCCCAGCTTGGTATCGTCCGCAAACTTTATAAGTGTCCTCTCTATGCCATTATCTAAATCATTGATGACGATATTGAACAGAACCAGACCCAGCACTGATCCCTACGGGACCCCACTCGATATCCCCTTCCAGCTTGACTGTGAACCACTGATAACTACTCTCTGCGAACGGTTTTCCAACTAGTTATGCACCTACCTTAGAGTGGCTCCATACAGGTTGTATTTCCCTAGTTTGTTTATGAGGTCACGTGAGACAGTGTCAAAAGCCTCATTAACATCAAGATATACCATGTCTACCGCTTCCCCCCTATCCACAAGGCTTGTTACCCTGCCAAAGAAAGCTATCAGGTTGATTTGACAGGTTTTGTTCTTGACAAATCCATGCTGACTGTTACTTATCACCTTATTATCTTCTAGGGGTTTGAAAATTGATATCGAACCTTCTAAAACTTCTGTAGCTTTGCTAGTGGCTGGTCCCAGACTTACACGCGCATTGTCTTCCTGAGGAGAGCATTGAATCTACAGACCATATACTCTGATTTCTTCTGCTGATTTTCATGCCGTTTCTTTCCAATATGCATCTCCATGTCTCTCTGCATCTTCCTTCACTTCCTCTTTCCTCTCCCCCACGAGCACTACGTCATCTGCAAAAGGCATGTGCCGGGGGCCACTCTCTGGCTGTTTTCTGTCAATGCCTCCAGCACCGACGTGAACAAAAAGGGGTTTAGTCCCAAGCCTTGATGTATCCCAGCTGTTACTAGAAACTGTTCCCTTTCTCCACATGAACCTCGCGCTGTGGCAACAGCACCATCGTACATGTCCTGGACACATCTGGTATAAAAGTTTTATTCACTCAATGAGGGGTGTCAGGATCCGGTCCCTGCATAAGTCAAACACCAATGTCGGTCGCCCTTCAGCGCCTGCAGAACTCACCCTCTGCCCTGGGTCTCTCTGCAGGGAAAGTGGAGCAGCAGAAGCAGCAGTTTTTGCTCTTTCTTTAATTCGACATTAGACATTTTGATGTCCACGTTCAGAGATGGGAATACGGAGTTATCACTGGAGGTGAGAGGCTCCACCTCTTAAATGTGCCCTGCAGACTAGTCCCCCTGCGTGTGCCCCAGACCCTGCGTGCTGCTGTGCTGGGTTAGGAGTCTCACTGGGTTGTGCGGGAGGGAGACATGTAGATACTCTTCAGACAAGATCTGTGCCCTCCACTGCTGTGGGGAGGGGGGGTGCACCCTCTAGTGGTGTTTGTCTGTGTCTGCGCTCACATGTTCTGTAGTGGTGCGAGTGCACATTTGTGTTTGTCCACCAACATGCACCCTATAGTGTTCAGAACTGTTGTTGTTCATCAGAGGTGCTATACTGCTAACAGTTAATAGGGATTCTCCTTCAGCTCATCTGTCAGTGACCTGAGTTTTTCAGGCAGCAGGATCTGGGCTCTATCCCTGCCCTGCCAGACATTTCTGAGCAGCTGCCGGATGCAGCAGAGAGACAGCCTAGGCAGCCGTGGGCTTGTGACAATGTTGTTCCCTGGCATCTGTAATAGAGGGACAGGGGAGCGGGAGCGAAGAAGGAAGGACAAAGGGTTCTAAGCCCCAGTTGGCTTCAGGTGCCAGTGAGGACCCGACTCAGCATCAGTGGACCCCCTTTGTAAAAGGCTCCCACTCTGAGAGGACTGTAGCCCCCTGAACTGGGAGAGGCTGTGATGTCCGACTCCCCCTGGGAACACACGGGACGTGGCACCTAACCCTCCGGACTCTTCGCTCCCAGGGCTTTTCCTTTCCTGTCCCCAGAACGTGACTCTCCGTTTCAGTGCCCTCCTGAACAGCACCGCCCTCTGGGATGGCGGAGACAAGGGGGAGGTGGGGTCAGCCATGACGGTCCTGCTGCAGAGCGTGGAACTGGCCACGCTGGCCACTGCGCTCCGGTCTCCGGAGAGGACAACACAGAACATAATGACAGAGTCTATGGGTGAGGGGGGACATGTGGCTCTCGGCGCCACCTGCTGGCTGCCGTGAGATACGGGGTTACACACTATGCCCCAAAACCACTGGAAGTTAGAGCCTATATACCGTTGTGGATGTGAGCCTGTGTTCAGTACAGACACAGACCAGCACTGCCCCTGCACCAGGAAATATAACCCAGCCCCGCCAGTGCCCCCAGGAGCAACAGCAATGCCCAATAAGGCTTTAAATGTAATATTTGGCATTGAACCACTAGGGGCTGCCATGCTGATCTAGTCACCTCCCCCCACCCCCACTACTCCCCCTGCTGGGGATGCAGCATCCCCAGGGAGACAGAGCCAGAATGGGGGATACGGGGGGTGATCAATGGAACTCGGGCGGGGGGCTCCAAACTTCCCCCTCCCACAGTGCGAAGTGCCCTGAAGCCCCCCAGCTCCAAGTGGAGTGGGAGGGGGGTGGATCTGGCCCAGAATGGACAGATTCCCAGGGAAGGGGTTTCACAGCAAGGGGCTCTGTCCTTCCTCACCCCCACCCCCTGCAGCTGTCGAGACGCGGCTCGTCACAGGGAACTGCAGCCGGGACAGTGAGGTCTTCACACTGAGAGCTTACGAAGAGATGATGGTCGTGCACTGTGATACAGTCACTGGGGCAGCCACACGAGGTACCATCCTGGGGATGGAGAGTCTCAGGGCCCAAACCACTGCACAGAGTGTTTCCTGGGCACTGAACCCCAGTCTGAGTTCCCCCGTTCCTCCCTCCCTCCCCATGGATCCCCAGGCCGGGCCCTGGCCTCTGTCTCTAGCCCTGGAGGGCTCCTTGCTGGCTGAGCCAGTGGTTCTCAGGCTGTGGCCATGGATCTGACACCTTCGTTCCTGGCTGACCCACAACTAGAGTCCCGAGCAGTGAGGAGTTGGGGGCGCAGAGGGGAGACGGCTCATGAGAGGGTCTCTGGTATGAAGTGGGCCCAGAGAATGGAAAGGGCAGGGACGGCCAGGTCTAGCTAGACCCCGAAATCGAGATGTGGGGAACCAGGGTAACGTGTACCCTCAGCTGCCATATTCAGGGCCCCGAATCCTCCAGCACCAGGGGAAGCTCATCCCTGGCCAGCCCCTCTCCTGGTCTCCCTGAGAAAAACTGAATCTTCATCTCTGCATCCTGCAGCTCGACGTTTCCAGCCGGATGCGTTCCTGGGGGCTCCGGGGGAGGAGGTAGCACAGTCCAGTGGTTAAAACTTAAGAGTTGTGGCCAGGATCCTGGGTTCCATTCCCAGATCTGCCCCAGACTCACTGTGACCCCTGGGCACCCGGCCGGCTCCTTCTTTGCCATAGCGTCCCCAGCTCCCTAACGAGGGATCATCTCCTCTCCCAGCAGGTTTGGGGGCTGCTGCTTTTATTTCCTACTCCACCCTGGACTCCATCGTCAGTGCGAGACGTCTCAGCGAGGGAAATCTACCGGCTGGTGGGAAGCTGGAGAAGAGTCATCTCAACTCCAGGGTGGTGAGTGGGGCCCTCGGAGACGGGAGACACATTCACCTCTCCAGACCCGCAAACTTCACCCTGCGCCACAGACAGGTGCGTGAAGGAACAACCTTTCCCTTTGCTCCATATCTGGGGCTCCAGAGGGGCCTATAGAAGGCACCATCTCCTGCCGGGCATTTGGACCGTGCTGCCTTTCTGGCTATCGATGGTCCTGAGAAGAGGAGGCCTCCTTATTCCTGATGAGTTGGGGCTGTTTTCCTGGAGGAGGTTACCGGGGGTCACACCACGACACATGGCTGTGCAAAGTGCTCAAGGGTAACAGCTTCGCCTAGATCAGCCCTGAGCCGGAATAACTGGAAAGCCGCTTTCTGTAGAGATTGGGGTTCAGGGAATCAGCATGAAAAACTTTGATACAGTAATGAAGTGGTTAGGGTGCATATGTGTATGTGTGCACACAGCACTGCCCTCTGCTGGATGCAGTCAGAACTGCTCAGCCATGTGCCACATTCCTTAGAGTGCTAACAGCTAGCAAGGGTTTATTTCCCTTTTGCTCCAAAATCAGGGCCTGTGCTTTTGGAGCAGTGGGTTCTCCGTTCTCTCTCTACTGTCACCGGGATGGCCCCAATGGGCACTGGGGGCTGCGTGGGGAGAGCCGTGGAGCTGTAGGTGGCCTCGGGTTTGCTATAGACTTGTGATAACAGAAATGACGTTCCGTGGTCCCACGAGGATGAGGATGATTCTGTTGTATTTCCAGACCAAAAAAGAGGAGGAAGAGGCTCTCTGTGTCTACTGGAAAGTAGAGGCCGAGAGCGGCAGCTGGTCTCCAGACGGCTGCACCGCCGTGCACACGAACAGCACTCACACCACCTGCAGCTGTGACCATCTCTCCAGCTTCGCCGTCCTAATGGCTTCGACCACAGTGACGGTATCTCACCGTGAGACTCAATCACACGGCTGGACCCTGAGCTCCGCACTCAGCCATGGGCAAAGCTCTCCATGGAGCCACTGGAGGCTTTGCTGGGGAAAATGCTGAGTCGGAGCTGAGGGGGCTGGGCTGGGGTCACTGGTGATTGTCCCTTTGCTGTGTTACAGGAGAGTTACCCACTGACCATCATCACCTACGTGGGACTGTCCCTCTCCCTGCTGTGCCTCTTCCTTGCCATCCTCACCTTCCTCCTGTGCCGCTCCATCCGCAACGTCAGCACCTCCCTCCACCTGCAGCTCTGCCTCTGCCTCTTCCTGGCCGACCTGCTCTTCCTCACCCCGGTGACACACACCGGCAGTCGGGTACGGCCTGATTCTCCCCTGCTCTGTTCCTCCACTCGCAGCAGGGCTGGGGTATGTGGTTTGAACCCCTTTGTGATCCCTGGATTCTAGGCTGTGCAGGACACAGGGGGGATTCCCAGGGGGGGATTTTCCCACCCCATTAGGCCCCTTCACACTGGGCACAGTGGTCTGAGTGTCCCCAACCCCTGGAGTTCAGCCAGTTCTATCCCTATGTCACAGTCTCCCTGTGCCTCGATTTCTCTCCTATGTGACTTGCCAATGGTCACCCAGGGACTCTGTGGCAGGGCTGGGAACAGAACCTGGATCCCTTGAGCCCTGTTCCCCGATCTAACCACTAATCTCTGCTCCCTTCGTGCATCAGCAATGTGCACCCGCAGGACCCTCCATAGACCGAGGAACCTGCCATCTCTGGGTCACAGAGCGCTATACCTGGAGAGCTGTGCTAACTATAATCCCAGTGTGACAAACCCCCCTCCCCAGCAGGTCTCCCACATACTCAGCATTTCCCTTCCCCACCGCAGTGTCCCTGGGCTCTCTGTCTCCCCCAGGCGGCGTGTGCTGTCATTGCTGGGCTCCTACACTACCTCTTCCTGGCCTGCTTCAGCTGGATGTTCCTGGAGGGGCTGCACCTCTTCCTCACCGTCAGGAACCTGAAGGTCGTGAATTACACCAGTGCCAGCCAGTTCAAGAAGAGATTCATGTACCCGTTCGGCTACGGCTTCCCAGCCCTGGTGGTGGCTATTTCTGCAGCGGTGAATCCTAAAGGCTACGGAACTTCTGAACAGTACGTGCAGCGCCCATCCCAAAGGGGAGCTGGGATGTGACTTCCATGCGCTTGTCTAGCTCACTCCAGGTGACTTGAACCTAGATTTCCCTGCTCACCCTGCCTGGGAGCTGAATGTCCCCCTGGACCCTTCCCATCCCCAATCACACTAAGCTGCCCCGAGCGCTGTAGTTGAGTTGCCCACCTGTCAGACATCTACACTCCTCACCCCACTGATGATACGGAAGAACAAGCCAGAAAGATCCTAGCTTGACTCCCAGGTCCCCGGCTGGGTTTGTGGGCTGGTGGGTAGGAAAAAAATGCACCTTCTTCCTGTGTGCAAATCCCTGAGGATCCCTCTCTAAAGTGAGTGACTCCACTAAAACAGGGCGTGGCATGTTCTAGACACCCCAGGCTAGATTCTCAGCTGCATGTCTGGCCCTCCAGCAATACTGCGCCCATCCACCAGAAAGGGTCATTTGAGGAGGTGGAAGAGGAAGTGGGGGCTGAAAGCAGGAGATGCTGAGGTACATGGGGAGGGCTGTTTACCTGCTACTCACAAGAGAGTCGGCCATGTCACAGGCAGGCTGAGATCCATCTCGCTTTTGAGAGCCAGCTGCCCTGTGACACCCCCTCTCTGCCCCCGCGGCTGAAAAAGGGCAGTAATCCCATTAACGTCACCTTCTTCCTCCTCCTTCCCTCTAGCTGCTGGCTCAGCCTGGACAGAGGCTTTATTTGGAGCTTCCTGGGTCCAGTCTGTGCCATAATCCTGGTGGGTACCTCCCAGAACCACAGGGCCCCATTCTCCTCTCACCTCTGCCACCCCATTGATTTCAGTGAAGCAGGGAGGAGAACGTGGCCCATAAACACAAGGAAAGACCCAGTTAGGTCCCACCTGGCTCATATGCTGTGGTGAGTCCCGGGATTAATCCCTGTGCTGTATCCCCAGGCCTACAGCCTTTACTCGGGCACAGCTCCCATGGATGTCAGTAGGAGTTTTCCCAAGTGAAGACAGCAAGACTTTGGTCTACTCTAGTTAATGACCCAAGGAACGAGGAAGGGAGAAGCGTACACTCTGCAGTGTTTTTTGTAGGGAGGGAAACAAATGTCCCTAAATATTCCTCCGTACGCCCTGGGGAAGTTGTGGGGAAGGGTAATTGTTACAGCCTGAAGGTGGCAGGAAGTATTCTAGAGTTAGGATCTGGAATCTCTGAACCAAATCCTGCTCTCAGTTACCAGTGTAAACCCAAAATAACTCCTGACTCCACTGGAGAGGCTCCATATTTAACTCAGAGCAGCATCTGACCTCTGTGATCCCATTGATCCATCTCAGCCCTGGCTGTGCTGTCAGCTCCACGCATGGGGAGGGACCGAGAGCTGCCAGGGGATATTACAGGAGAGGGGATGATTCCCACCGGAAATGAGCAGTCCCCAGTTCTGCAGTGTTCAGATCGGTCCCCTGGGATCGTTCTCTGCCTCTGCTGGAGTCACCGGCCCCGGATGGGATGTTTTACAGGAAATATTTCCCACTCATCCCACAGATAAATATAACGTTTTTTGCCCTGACCTTGCGGATCCTGAGAAACAGACTCTCCTCCCTCAATGCAGATGTGTCCACCCTCAGAGACCACAGGTGAGGCGGCAACAAAACAGTCCTGGAGGGTCAGATGCCTTGGTTTGGAAGGTCCTTGGCACTGGGAGGGTATGAGGGATTGCAGGAGGGGAACAGCATATCTAGGATCCATAGGAATGAATTCCCAGTGTGTTTGCATTGACAGTAACCCTGTCCCACACAGGAAAGCCAGGGCCAGTAGCTCCGCCCCACTCTGCCCAGATCTTCCTGACCCAATTGCTCTCCATAGGGTTATTGTAAAGGGATCTCTCCATTTGCCTTTACCCAGGTTACTGACCTTTAAAGCCATCGCCCAGCTCTTCATTCTGGGCTGCACATGGAGCCTTGGTCTCCTCCAAGTCGGCCCAGCAGCCACGGTCATGGCGTATTTATTCACCATCATCAACAGTCTGCAGGGAGCCTTCATCTTCCTGGTGCACTGTCTCCTCAATCTCCAGGTAATGCCCACGGCCCGTCAGCGCCCAGCACCTTCACTGGCCTCACGGTGACCATGTTTGATCTTCTCCGAGTTAGTTACATAGTGCAGTGACCGTGTCCCTCACTCTCCAGGTGAGAGAGGAGTACAGGAGATGGATCAAGGGATTCCGAATGTTCAGCACGAAATCTCAGACATCCGATCTATCCATGTCTGCTGTCCCCACCACCAGCACCAAGATGGTAAGAGGTTCTCTGCTGTGTTCCAATACCAGCCTGTGACACAGTCATCTCTAGCTGGGTCTCATCACTGCTGTAAAGGTGATTTGCCCCTCGAATGATTCAGGATTGGTTATGAGTCAGCTGGGAACATCACTGCAAGTGTTAGTGAGAGTCGGTCACTATCGAGGAGTATCCTAGATGTCTTAAGCACCAGAACAGAATGCCCTGTCCTGGCACCTCCGCGTTCCCTTCCCTTGGCTCTCCTGGGAGCTCCAGGGGTCACTCACTGTGGACTAGGCAGGCATTGGCTCTTGCAGTGTAATGATCTGAATAGATCAGATTTTCCCCTGGGATTGAATCCTTGTCAGTGCACATGGATCATCCCCAATGAGCAGTCAGCACCGTGAAGAATTTCCCTTGGCTCCATTATCCCTAAGGATCAGGGATCCAGGGGCTTTGTGTGTCACCTCCCAGAGACAACCCACCAGTTTGCACATTACACTCTCAGTGGCCTTGGAACCTATTGTCATTTTTCTGCTTTTCTTGCCAGGTGTAACCCATCTGCCAGGCGGAGTCGGCAGCCACCAGGGCCGGGTTCAATACCTAGGGGTTCCAATACAAAACAGAACCGGCTGGAGCCCCCTGTGACGTTGCACTCCATATGCTTTATGGAAATATGCTCATGAATAGGACATAACTGGAATATGCTTTATGCTAAATACCCCTTACATCACATGTGTCAAACTCAAGG